CAGCAGGAACTAATGAATTAGTAATGCTCCTGATCTCCAAGCCAGTGTGCTACTCCAGTCAGCAGATACTGAACTTCACTAACAAGGAGGGGACAGTGGAGATGCAGGACAGTCTTGAAAATGTCAGTACATGACCAGATTACATATAGACAGTTGGTATGAGGAAAACACAGATGGAGACATCAGGGAACAATCCTTTCAAAGACATACCATTGGCTAGGAGAAGATTTGGTAAGCACCAGTCCTAGACAAGAGCAAGGAGAAAGCAAGTCAACAGGGAAACTGGAATGAAATATATTCAACGAATGATGCAATTTTGGACTAAAGCTGCCTACAGAGAAATAGTACCACAAGGAGCAACATTATGAGAAACCTAAGAGGAACTTAACATTGTTGAACGCCCAGTCAGAAAGCTGCATTCACTTCCAGGCATTTTAAGGAGAGAGGCTGATAAACTGTTACACACTTGGAGCTAATGTAGGAGGGGGAGGGAGAGGAAAGAAACACAGATTAAAAAAATGAAGAAAGGAGGAGTAAGGACTCCACAAGCAGCAGGGAATTTGCTCCAGCATGCACAGTGCCCTGAAATAGCCAGGTGGAGTGATTCCCAGTTGGAGGTAGCCAAAGGGTATAGATAACAAAGGAGGACAAATACTAGCTAGGATGAAACAAGGAAAACTATCTGAACATAACATAACATCACAGTTTAAAGTAGCTGTTATCAAGAAGTGTTAACAAATGCCTTCCTTGGGAAAGCTGGCTTCTTGTCCCATGGGAAGTGGAAAGGCTCTGTTGCTTAGGACACTTGTGACTGGACTGTAGAAAGCATCCAAGAATCCCCTGCAGAGAACATCTGGTGTGGATCAGGCCTATTTCCTGCAGGAGGCAGGGCAGTCACACTGGGCCATCGCGGTCGTTGCCTTCTCTCAAGCTGGGCAGTAGTGACGTATAGAAAGTAAATCTGTTTTTCTTGTGAAATTTATGCTCAGTCATTACAATATCAAAGCTAAATACACAGGTAGCTCTACTTAGCAGCCATCTGAAAGTTTCTGATAACAAGGCACAAACAGACCGGTGAAGAAGTAAAAACACATCAATATTATGGGGGAAAAAAACCCCAAACATCTGAGGTGAGCTTTCACCCCTTTCTCCCTGTTACCATTCAGGACTTATTGTTTCTGTGGAAACCAAAAAACAAGAGCAGGGACCAGTGGCTCATACCCATACCTCTGTTAGTACCCAGCAAGCCCTCTGAGAAAGGTGGCTGTACCTTCCCTTTGCCCTCAGCAAGCACCAGACAGCCCAAGTGACCTCCTGCTGCCACAGGACTGCTGCACCATCACAGAGCAAAGTCAGCAGCAGCAGCCTCCCACTTGCTGTGTGCTATGAAAGCTCGTGTGGATGGGTATGCAGTAAGTCCTCAGCAACCCTTCATGGAGCTGACATGTGGGGAACCAGATACCCACACATCGTCTGCATGCCCCCATCATGGTCCCTGGAGCTACGCTGTCTGCTTCTCCTCTCCATCACCCTCCCTGCCTCTCTTTCCTTGTGTTCTTCCTTGCAGCACCAGGGATCCTTTGCTGATTCTTTAGGGGCTAAGATGTTTTTTTGCTACATTGTTTTTTGCAACCAAAAGCTCATTTGGAAAAATAGATATTAAAATTAAAAAATATATATATAATAATCAATAATCGAAGCTCAAAAGAAACAGCATGAAAATACATGAGACACTTCATTTCACTGATCAACAAGAACTGCTTCTTAGAAAAGAGAAAAAAAAAAAAGCAAACACTGAGATTTTAGTTCCACATTGTACCTTTTGTACTAGTTTTCTGCACTTTGGAACATACGAGATGCACCTCATCATCTGCAATGCTATGATACGTAATTTTTTTCTTGAATCCATTTTCCTGAAAACCAGAATTAGCATTTGTGGATTTATCCCAAACCATGAAACATCTTTGCATTCATTAATGGTCATGCGTAATCCCATTTTTAATCTTAATAAGCTCTTTAGTGCAATAATATCCTATGTCACTAACGCAGACAACTTAATTCCTTGACTTAAAGCCTGAGTCTCTTTGGAGTTTTGCCATTGATTTCCTCGGGCTTTGGATCAGGTCAGGCTCCAAAAAAAACCCAACCCGATGCAAACTTGTGAACTACCTGACTGAAAAAGTGCTAAGGTTATAACACATAGCTTTTAACACATAGCTTTTCTGTGTATATAAAATCTGCATTCACAAGAACTTCAAGTAGTGTTTTAGTTACCCTGACCCCAAGATGCTCTTGATAAACTGCAGGAAGGAAGATTTCCTTACGCTCACTACCCTTACCCCCACATGAGAAGTTTGGAGCCTTAGAGTGCCTACTCCCAGAAGAACCTTATTTCTTGATCTATCTAAATTAGTCAATTAAAAACAAGATTCCCAAGTTCATGCAGACAAAAACGATAGAGATAAATTTAATTTGAACTAAATTGCAAGCAGGAGTAAATTGCTGCTAGTTATAATAATTTAATTACAGAGCAAATTTTAAATCACCTCTTTTGGAGGACTTAGAAAAGTCAGACTGTTGGGACCACCTGGAATTTCTCTGAGCCCCAAATAAAGGTCCCAACTGGTTCTAATAGTACAAACCTTACAGCTTGCTTTCTAACTGAAATTGTGGCCAGGGGCTACACAACAGTGCACAAACCTTTCACTGCCCTTCATGCGTCTTTACTTTGACACTACTTAAAAATGAGAAGAGAAATCCGCCTCCATGGCCCCTGCAGTCCCTCGAGCTTTGTGATGAGGCACGGAATGCTGAATTAGCTCAGGGCTCAGACACACATCCAAAGCAAGGGGTTTGCCACAGCTTTAAAAGTTATTCCTCACTGACTGGATTAGTGTAGATGACCTCTTCATCTCCGCCAGTTGCCAAATAAAATCCAGTTCATGGTGGCTTATGCTTGCATTTATCCTTCCTGCTTGCAACAAGCTCAGAGCTCAAGCACAGCCTGTCACTGCAGGTCAGCTGCTGAGCAGTGCTCAGCAACCCAAAATGGCCCCACTACTTCGTGCCAGGGATCCATAACCCCTCTTTGGTTTACTAAAGAGATGGTCAAAAGGCCATTTGATCAGACGCAGTGATGTCCTCATGGGAATGCATTTCTGATAGGAGATGAGATTTTATTCCAAGCGGCAAAAGTAAAATCAGATCTGGCGGCTGGAAACCTGTGTTTCACAAATTCAGAGAAGAACCACAGAATCACAGAATGAACCAAATTGTTCATTTCTGACAAAGGAAGTAACGAACCTCAGAAACAACTTTCCACGTAATCTGTGCTCTGTAGGTTTTCAAACCAAGACTGTGTGACAGGATTGATAGATATGCTGTGGTTAACATCCATGGCTGAGGCAGTTCAGAGCTCTTGCACAGGACTGCTGGTGAAGATTTCAGGTCAGAGATATACAGGATGTCACTAGGATGATCCCAGCTGGTTTTGACATTCTATCACTCATCCTTACCACTGGTGCACAGTTGGGAGCCCATGAGCAAAAGCTGTGTTTAAATATGATAGCCTTTACAATCGTACGTAAGGCTTTGAAAAAATGGAGATCAGCACTTACATTATACCAATGTCAATGAGTTTGGCACAGGCACTGCAAAATTTCTTGCCTGTTGCTATGGAACAGAGAAAATAGAACTGCATTGCTGTCTTCTGCATATTCAGTTTAAAACAGAAACATTTAAAAAAGCGTAAGAAGGTAGAAGTGTCTCTACCAAATCAGACAAAAGGTCTGTCAAACCTAATACTCTGTGGCCAGCTGTGGCCAGTAATGGACACAAAGAAGATCCAGGAAGGTAGCAATATATGACACTAATGTAATCTAGTACCTTCCAGTGATTTGCAGCCAAGGATATCCTGAGGCAGAGTTGATGTATTTGTGTTTCTTAGCACCATGACATTTTTGCTTCATGACTTGTTCTGGACACTTTCTGAACCTATAGAAACTTTTACTATCCATGGTACCCTTAGGCGAACAGTTCATACAATAAACCCATTACTGCTTAATAGAGAAATAACAGGAAGTGTCACCTTCTCCTTCTCTCAAAATACAGAAGAAACACCTCACTGTCGTCTGCAAGTTTCCTCAGTACTTGCCTTGGAAGAAACACTAGTATTATACTGAGAAAAGCACAGCTTTCGCTCCAAAGCTAAGGATGCTGTTGTCAGTCACTATCTGGCCAGTTGTAATCAACAGCAAACATGGGGTTCCAGGTGAGAACATCTTTGCTTGATAAATATCAAAAGCTCTTTCTCACAATGCACTGTAATAAGTGATAATGGAAGGTTGTTTTCTCTTTTAAGTCAGTATTACTGAAGAGCGGCATTTCAAGAATTCAGATAGGACACGGTGAGGATTAGAAGTTACTGGAAATTGGGTTAGTAATGTTCCTGTGGGCAAATAAAATAATCTTTACAATTACTGCATTCTCCCAGTAGTTTCAACATTAGAAAATACACTTTAGTGTCTTCCCCTACACAGGGTCAGAACCACTGATGCTGAAAATGGACCTTGCTCCCCTAAGTCCCCATCACTTAATGCAAATGGTTGCAAGATGAGTTTTTTAGATCCTTAGGAGAAGCTGAAGGTGCTTTTGTGTGTCCTGTTCCAAAGAACTATGTTTTCTTCCAGCAACCAGTCTTTTCCCACATTTGGTTTTCGAGGTACCACCATTCACAGTATCAACCTTGGGCTCCTTCAAGGGTTGGCAGCTGATCCCAGCAGTAAAATACAATTAAGCTCATTGAAACAATCGGACTGAAGGCTTTATTATGATGAGAGATGCTGAGTTGTTCACCCTCCATTAGGTAACTAGGAAGGAAGAACATTTTAGGGAAAACAAGGTAGCTTGTTGGTTTAACATTTTATCCAGCTATGGCAAATGAGAAGACTCACTCATATCTTAACCTAGAATACTATATTTTGTGGGTTACTCAAAGCAAGGGTATGATGGAGAATTACTGCCTTAGAACCACTGGCAAGACACACCAAGGACAGGAACAGAGTGCTTAGCATTCAGAAGGGATAAGCGTGTCTGGCAGGTAGGGTTCACACCTGACGTAGCAGAACCAGCAGGAGAACTGCAGATTCCTGTGGGGTTCAAAACAGAAACATGCAAATAATTTATTTATGGCAAATAAGGTTTAATTAAAGAGAAGGTAGCCAGGACATCCTTGTTGTGTCAAAGCAAAGTCCAGCTTCAGAAGCAAGGCCACCCTTTGGATTTGCTGTCAGTGCCAGTAAGCACAGACTGGGACTGATCTGGCATTGCTGCTGTTCCAAGTGCCAGAGGTGTCGAGGCTGCACACTTGAGTGGGCACTCTCTCCAAGTCTCACAGTCCACCCCCTCTATGCAACTGCCTCCTTTAAGCTCCTTCGTGATTATGATGGTGATGGTGGCTGGCAAAGTTGCCCCTCTGCACACAGTGCTGGGTGCTTGGCTTCTGGCCATGCCAAAATCATGGGGAATTTCCTTCCTATGGCGATGTCATTACTGAGGACACAGCATTGTATGGTTGCACAGTAATGTCAGTGGTGCATTGTGAGAACTGGAGCTACAAATACAGAAAATAAGGGTGACTTTGGTATGTTTTCCAAGAAAGAAAGAAAGAAAGAAAGAAAGAAAGAAAGAAAGAAAGAAAGAAAGAAAGAAAGAAAGAAAGAAAGAAAGAAAGAAAGAAAGAAAGAAAGAAAGAAAGAAAGAAAGAAAGAAAGAAAGAAAGAAAGAAAGAAAGAAAGAAAGAAAGAAAGAAAGAAAGAAAGAAAGAAAGAAAGAAAGAAAGAAAGAAAGAAAGAAAGAAAGAAAGAAAGAAAGAAAGAAAGAAAGAAAGAAAGAAAGAAAGAAAGAAAGAAAGAAAGAAAGAAAGAAAGAAAGAAAGAAAGAAAGAAAGAAAGAAAGAAAGAAAGAAAGAAAGAAAGAAAGAAAGAAAGAAAGAAAGAAAGAAAGAAAGAAAGAAAGAAAGAAAGAAAGAAAGAAAGAAAGAAAGAAAGAAAGAAAGAAAGAAAGAAAGAAAGAAAGAAAGAAAGAAAGAAAGAAAGAAAGAAAGAAAGAAAGAAAGAAAGAAAGAAAGAAAGAAAGAAAGAAAGAAAGAAAGAAAGAAAGAAAGAAAGAAAGAAAGAAAGAAAGAAAGAAAGAAAGAAAGAAAGAAAGAAAGAAAGAAAGAAAGAAAGAAAGAAAGAAAGAAAGAAAGAAAGAAAGAAAGAAAGAAAGAAAGAAAGAAAGAAAGAAAGAAAGAAAGAAAGAAAGAAAGAAAGAAAGAAAGAAAGAAAGAAAGAAAGAAAGAAAGAAAGAAAGAAAGAAAGAAAGAAAGAAAGAAAGAAAGAAAGAAAGAAAGAAAGAAAGAAAGAAAGAAAGAAAGAAAGAAAGAAAGAAAGAAAGAAAGAAAGAAAGAAAGAAAGAAAGAAAGAAAGAAAGAAAGAAAGAAAGAAAGAAAGAAACGATGTCATTACTGAGGACACAGCATTGTATGGTTGCACAGTAATGTCAGTGGTGCATTGTGAGAACTGGAGCTACAAATACAGAAAATAAGGGTGACTTTGGTATGTTTTCCAAGAAAGAAAGAAAGAAAGAAAGAAAGAAAGAAAGAAAGAAAAAGAAACCAGAACACTAGCCACAGCAGAGTAAGTCTAACTGGTGTTTTCTGCCCCATGAACTCACTTACCTCTCACCTCCCAAAGAGAAGTTTCAAATGCAAAAATAAATTAAGAAAATATTTCATATCATACACTAAATATCACTTAGCCCTTTCTTTCTCCCTCAGGTTCTTTTTGCCGTGCATACCCCACTGTCCTGACCTAAAAATCATGCCTTTTGTCTCAAATAAACATTTATTGATGCATCACCCTGGGCTTTCTTCTGAAAGAGATGTTGTCCCCCAGGAATCTACAAGGCACCAGGAAAGATAATTATTAAGTGTTTTTCAGCCTGTGGTCTACAGTCCCCAGGGACTCTATGAACTATTTCTAAAGGGTCCAGGAAAAACAACCAAGGCAAGAACATGCTTGTCATTACACTTTAATTTGACAGGCAGGAACTCACACTCCATTAGAAAATCTTTGGAAACATATTGGAAAAAGATAAAAGAAATCATCCAAGATTGGAGGCAGCCTAGGGAAGTCCATGAACCCACCTAAAGTCCAGGAATCTGCTTCATGCATACCACTTTCTGGATTATAAATATTCTAACCAGCTGAAGTCTGAAATGGTTGTGGTTTTATATAGCTTCTCAGCAGCATTTTGCAGCCCAAGCAGAATTCTTGCTGTTGCACCAATTTCCTCAGCAGCATCCAGGCCACGTAGCTTAAAGCTAGTGCAGTAATTTCAACACCTTTATAGTGCTACTTTATCTGTGCTGTTGTTATTTCACTGAGTCAAGAGGCTTTGCTTTAATCTTCAAAGTAGGAACGTTATTGATCTGTGTTTGTTTTCTGCATTATAGATCTTTGCTGATTTACCCAGCCACTCTGGATCTTCTTGACTCATTCATTAAGCATCACCAGATCTACTCTACATTGTCCTAATCTCGGGAGCCAAGAACTAGATGCAGTATTCCAGATGTGGCATCACCAGGGCAGAGGAGAGGTGAGAATGACCTCTTTCGACCTACTGACCACACTCTTCTTCATGCACCCCAGGATCCCATTGTCCCTCTTGGCAGCAAGGGCACATTGCTGGCTCATGTGTTATTTACTATCTACCAGGACTCCCAGGTCCTTCTCCTCAGAACTGCTTTCCAGCAGGTCCACCCCCAACCTATACTGGTGCATGGTGTTCTTCCTCTCCAGGCGTAGGACCCCACACTGGCCCCTGTTGAACCTCAATCAGTTCTTCTTTGCCCAGCTCTCCAACCAGTCCAGGACAGAGAAAATCTAAACTGCCCAGCACAGATGCAGATATTTGCACATGAATAGAGGTATCATACTCAGAATCCAAAAATAAACCAGTCCAGAATGCAATGAGGACTAATCCTGGCATGACAGGGACAGCAGCAGTCACACCAATATGTAGCTGGGGAACAAACCAAGTTCTGTAATCACTACAATAACCATTGGTCAAATAGCACAATTTTGATTGGCATTTCCGAAATGTCTGAAAAACCCTTAGGAGGGTCTGTAGTTTCTCTGTGCTAAGCGCTGCACAACCATATAATGAAAAGACACTCCCTATCCCTGGAGAGTACAAGCAGGAGCAGTAAGATCCATGCGTGGTCACCACCCATTTTCGCTGACTTTTTTTTGTTCCCATCCATTTCCAGAGGGGTCCCACCATTGCTCTCCTTTCTCTCAAGGGGTTTTGCTGGAAAGCAAAGGAGCACGATTTTGGCAAACACTTGTGTTAAAGCAGGGTTGCCTCAGAACTGGGCAGATACTGCTGCTTGCAAACTTTTTGACATTGCAATGCCAAGTTTGTACCATGACATTTCAGATTTCCTTTTGAGTGATCTCAGATTGTTTCAACATGTCTCAAGAGCTTCAGCCAAGGGTTTTAAACAGAATGAGGTAACAAAATCTTAGAAATATTCCCCAAGTATATGGGAGAACTTTTTTTTATGTATACAGGAACCAGATTGTTTGGGGGTAAATGGGAAAGAAACATACCCTCTCTAATGAAAAAAAAATTACAGAACTCCTTTAAAATTCAGTAAACACAGGGAGGAACAAACATTGCAACATGGTCAGAGTAATTTGTTAATGAAGGAAGAAAAAAAATGTTAAAATTTGTTTACTTTTTCTCTACACCTGGTTTGAGTTCCGGTGTGTGTTGAGTACCCATCTCCATGTATCTTCAAGAGCCCCTTGTTCAGTCTTTAAAATGCAGTCACTTGGGTTTTTAATCCAAATAGCAACACCAGAGATACATAAAGGTTTATTTTCAGTTACAGTGAAATCTTCAAAGAAAACCCAGGGGGCTTATTAATGTTGGAGCTGGGAAAGGAAAAACAAAGAAACCCAGGCATGAACATAAGAATCAGTATTGGCAGCGAGGGATGTGACGCTCATGGAATGGCCTGAGAGAAGAAAGTATCTGGAAAGAACAGAAAAGAACAAAGCAGAAATAACTGGATTTAAAGGAGCTTGCTTGACTAAGAACTTCCCAAATACCTATAAAAATTCCTAGGGATCTTCTAAATCTCACAAGTGACCCAGCTGTATAAGTATCCAGAGAGTATATTGTTTTTATTTAGCTGAAAGTATTCAGAATATATATATTCTTAAACAGTTTGCTTTGTGTAAAATGGAGGATGCACCTTTGAAAATTGTGGAAAACATGGAAATTAAGTCAGATATAGCAAATTATATCAGCAATTTTGTCAGAGAGAAACAAACTAGACTGTTACCTTCAGTGATGCATTTTATCACTCCGTAATTTTATCACTCCGTAAATACTCACTAATATTTACTCCGTATTTACTCACTAATATTTACTCCGTAAATACTCACTCGGTAATATTACAGCCAGAAGCAAAGAACAATGAGGGGAATCGGGTCAATTTAGGACATGTTTTCATTTGAAAATCCTCCATACCATGTTTTAACATAAGCACATTTCACAGTACTGCTAAGAACAGTTCCATAGCAATGAAGATAAATTTAAAGCATGTGTCCAAGTTTGCAGCACTGAGTGAAAGGGACCTAATACAAACCACAATTTCATTATGTGCAACATTAAGTGACATTTTTTTCACTCCTTTGCCTCCAGGGACAGAGTCTTACTGATCAACAATAGGTGTTTTAATCATTAGCAGTGAGGGGAAAACTTTGCACAAGAGTAAAGATTTTCATTTATTTATTTATTTATGTTATTTTTTTGCTTTAAAAGATTTAAACTGCATACTTAGTTTAGGCAACCAGGTCTAAAAACATTTGCACATAGAAGTACAGGAAGAAATGCTGGGTTTATCTTCAATGCAGAGTTAATTTAACCTTATAATCTTGTAACATTCAAGTTGCCTTTATATTTAGCTCTCCTCACAGACAAAAGCTTCACTCAAAGTATGATATAGAGCCGATCCAGGGTAGAAATAGGTTAGTGCTGCCAGTGTTCACACACCTTCCCATAATACCCATGCTTTAAATTATCCCAGAACAGTTTGCAGAACAACCTCCTATATCTTTTCTGGTAATTGTAACCCAGACCAAGATGATTCCTGCAGTTGTCTGCCCCAGTAATCTGTCAGAGGCTCCCCTTTCTCTTTTTTGTTCTTATAGCAAGAGCAGCAGAAGTAAAAGCGCTTTTTTTTGGGTTTTTTTTGTTTTTTTTTTCCCAAAACTGTGGGTTCATGCACCTTAATAGGGCTGCACACTGCCAGATCATTCAGCAGCAGAAATGCAATCTCAATCACGTGTGGGCGTATGACTGTGTTTCTGTCAAATCAGACAGAGCACATGATGGAGTTTTCACTGTCTTTTTCTATTAACTTTATGTCAGCCCCGGGGAGGGCAGATGACATCTGATCTCTCACAAAGCCAGGCAGTGTGAAGTTAACCCGTTACATTATCCCGAGCTGATCCTAGCTGGCAGAAGGAGTATATAGGAGGTCAGCACTCTGCAACCCAGGGCTGTGCCGTTCTGGATGCCGTTAGAAGAGCCAAAAAAACAGATGCACTGTACTGGCCAGCAGCACAAGCCCAGATACAAGCTTACACTGGCAATTTTTTAAAAGATTTGCACTTGGCGTCCTCAGCCAAGTCATGTGCTGCCAGCCTGTGAGGCCTGACAGCTGCCCAGAGGGATGCTACGGTGGTAACTCCCGTTCCTCTACCCTACACAGGATCACGTCCAAGTGAAGTAACTCAAGAACACAGATTTAAGATAACTCTGCTTGAACACTGCGGGCGCTCCGCTGTTTGGCACAAGGCACACGTGCCGTGTTTGCCTGCCCGGATCAGCAAGCAAAGCCGAGAGCCATTCCCCGGCCCTCCCTTACCGGCTGCTACCACCTTGTGGCCATTCTGTTCCGTGTGTTGACAACAGCCACGGAAACCTCTGCGAGTTAAGTACCGCCCCTGCTCTCCTACCTGCTAGGAGCTCCTGGTGGAAGAACCACCCACCGGATTGCTCAGAGCCCCATCCAGCCTGGCCTTGAGCACTTCCAGGGAGGGGACATCCACAAGTTCTCTGGGCAACCTGTTCCAATGCCTCACCAACCTCACACTAAGAATTTCCTCCCAACGTCTAACCTCAATCTCCCCTCTTCCAGTTTGGATCCATTGCCCCTTGTCCTCTCACGACCAGAAAAGCCCCTCCCCAGCTTCCCTGCAGCCCCTTCAGGCACTGGAAGGGCCCTGTGAAGCTCTCCCAGAGCCTTCTCTTCCCCAGGCTGAGCAGCCCCAACTCTTTCAGCCTGTCTCTGCTGCGAGCAGAGGTGCTCCAGCCCTCGGGTCATCTTCACCGCCCTCCTCTGGATTCGCTCTGGGCAGCTCCATGTCCTCCTCACGCAGGGATCCCCAGGAGCGGGGAGTCTCCCGAGAGCCGGAGGTGCTGCCTTGTTGGCACAGACGCACCGGGTCTGTGACCGCGTTATTCGCTTCCCTGCACCGCGTCAGGCTGCTTGTGCTCGCTGCGCGAAGGAGCAAAGACTCAGGCCCCGCAGGAGGGCAGTGTCCGTCCTCCCCGCGCAGCCCGGGCCAGGAACAGCTCCCGAGGCGCGGGGCATCACCCCTCGCGGCGGCGGGGCGGCGGGGGCGGTGCCGTTGGTGGCGGTGCCGTTGCGGTGCCGGCCCTGCGCGCCGCGGTGCCCCGCTGGGGAGCGGCGGGGCTCTGCAGGGAGCCCTCGGAGGCCGCTCCCCACGCCGGTGCCGTCGCTGCGGGACGCCCTGACCGGTGGGACGGGATGGGGAGAGCCTCGCCGGCAGGGAGGAAGGCAGCTCAGTGAGTGCCCTCGCCGCCTCTCCCCAGCCCCCCCGGGGGAGCCCCGCGACAGAGGGAAATCAGCTGGGATTCCTTAGAAGCAACTGCTTCTTACTCAGACAATCAGCCGTCAGCCCCGGTTACAAGCTTCTTGTGCGGGCAGCATCGCAGAGCAGCCTTGTCTGTAAACTGAACGCTGGGACCTTGCTGAGTATCTCGCAACCCGGACAACCCCTGTCCTCAGACCTCACCTCTGGGATGGTCTGGGGTACCTGTGGGCAGCACAGCCTGCTGCTAAGGAGTCAAGTCATAGAATCACAGAATCGTGGAATAGTTTGGGTTGGAAGGGACCTTACAAATCATCTAGTTCCAACTCCTCTGCGTGGGCAGGGACATCTCCCACTACACCGGGTTGCTCAAAGCCCCATCCAACCTGGCCTTGAACACTTCCAGGGATGGGGCTTCCACAGCTTCCCTGGGCAACCTGTTCCAGTGCCTCACCACCCTCACACTAAAGAATTTCTTCCTAACATCGAACCTAAATCTACCCTTCCAGCTTAAAACCATTACCCCTTGTCCTTAAACTGGAAGAAGGTAGGTCTAGGTTAGACGTTAGGAAGCACATCACATTAAGAACCTAACATTTGGGTTAGGCATTAGGAACTCATTTAGATGCTCTACCTCCTCTGCCTTGTGTTTTTGTCTCTGCATTGGTTTCCAGTTTTTGAACTGTTCTCACTTCTTGGCCTGTAAAAATACAGCTTCTGGTCGTCTACTGGAGTAGCAGATTTTTTGAATCCCTGTATTATATTTGCAAACGTGGTGAATGTAAATAGGAGCTGTAAAAAAGTCTACGCGTACTTCGGCTGCAGAGGGTGCTGTTTTAACTTTAGCCAAGTGTTACACCTCAATTGACCAGAATCAAGTTCCTCATCTCCCTGTCCCAGTGCTTTGTGCTTTGGGGTAATTGTGACATATAACTGCACTGCTACCAGAAGGACAATCCTCACTCTTCTTCTCCATTGCATGTCCTGCTTTTATATTGTAGGCTCGTTTGATGAATGGGTTCAGGGGGTTAAAGCAGCTGAAAACCGAACATCTTTTCTTATATCAGTTTTCTGCTCTGGCTTTTCACACAACAGTAGGAGTACTAGTGCTGCACAATAGAGGCACCAGGGCAACAGAAGAGGACAGGTGAGAGCCTGTCTCCTTCGAGCAGCAGACAGGAATAATGATGGAGTACATGACCATGTGGATTTGGCCTAATTCTCTACTCAGGCCACAAAGCAGAACAAAACAGAGGCAGCTTTTCTCTCTAACAATAAACAAAAGCAAGCTGTTCTACTGCAGACTTTCAATTTTACTTTAGTATTTTATTTATAGTTTTGTTGTTGTTTTTATTTTAGGATGAAGACCCCCACTTACTCATTTGTGACAGAATACAGTCAGCAGTGTGCTGTTCTTACAGGTTAGGACCCTTTCAGTTATTCCCCTACATTTTTCCTTGAAGACCACAGGGTGGAAGAAAAGGGGAAGGAGGAAAATACTAGTGCTGATATTACTGTCAAGCTGTAAACAAAATTGGAGCTAGGTCTAACCACACTTTATGGGTATTCTTGACATAGGCAAGTAATTATCTGAGTCTCTTCTTGCAGCATGCTCTTGATGAACAGTTACTGATTTGGCCTTATAATAGCCAGGTATCCATTAGAGTTAAGTATCCTCGAGGTTAAAAATTGGTTCTGCAGTTTTGGTTTTCATTCATTTACTTTTCACATGTTATCTACACTTGAAACCAGATCCTTCAGATGAAGCAGTTTTGCTTATTATGTTCTTTTGTTTGTTGTGAGGAGAAGTAGATCTAGAAACCAGGTCTAAAGAAGAAAAGATATTTTTTTTTTCTGTCAAAATAAATCTTAAGGGTGCAAGTATCTGATTCAGACCCAAACCAAATACCAAAAAAAAAAAAGTCCATGAATCCAAGCTCCTATCTTTTGGCCCTACCATAACTCACTCATTACAAAAGCCATTAATAATAAAAGGTGCCAATGCTTTCTGTAGGAAACTTGATGTGCTTTGTGGTTTTGTGAATTGACTGTTCATTCAATGTTACTTTTAAATTCAGTGTGATATATAGGATGGAGCATTAAATTTACGTTTCAGTGGGATGTAGTCTTATTGTATTGTGCTTAGTTATGTCAGTTTCATATAGATAATTGCTGCTCCCACTCAGAAGAGCAAGAGAGACTGATGTGAGGGTTCTTTCACTTTCTTATAGATTCCATTTGTGCCCATCTCTTTCCAAGGGCAAAACAGATTCTGTTATCATCTGACAGAAAAGGCAGTGGAGCCCCCTCCCCAGAAGCCTCAGACTCTTGATAACTCATCACCTGCTGGTCAGTTTTCCCTGGTGAACTGGCCAGACCAATGTGAAGTCATCAGGGACAGGATTGAGCACATTGGTAAGTTATTTTGGTATGTTCAAAATCTTGTGTATGGGCAACGAGGAAGCACACCTTACACATAAATAAAGCCAGGAATTCATTGTTAGTATCAGTGAAATCTGAAGAAGGACATTATTATTAGTTCAGATCTAATAGCTGCAATTAAACTTGTTATACATACGTTTCACGCACTCCCTTTGGCTTCTCCTTCTACTGCTCCTCTAGGTCCTAAGGTCAGTGGTTTCATTGCAGAGGCTTAGTTCTGGTGAAGGGGTTGTTTGTTGCAAATTGTCAGCCTCTGGAGTCCTTTGCTGGGAGAAATCTCACTCTAGGATACAAATAACTCTTGGGTCAATTTCGTATGTTTACTAGCTCACTCTTAAAAAACTTTTCTTCATCCACCTCCAGATCTATGTTACACCTGAATTTACTATATACAGTGTTCTTTATGTATGTTAGATATGATTTTGTCCTGGTTTGAGCCAGGATGAAGCCAATTTTCCTTTTCCTGATTTGTTTTTTTTCCCTTCAGTAAGCTTTCTTTTAACTAGTAGCAGAGTAAGGAAAGGCTTGCTGCCAGAATTAATTTGTGTTCAACAGATCTTTGACACCCTAGGCAGATGTCTTGCAAGTTAAATGGAGACACTGCCATTATGGCCATGCAGCTTCTGTGTGGTCAGCAATAAATTACTTCACTCTGTACTTGGATCATCTGATTTCCTAACAATACTGATACTATCTAGTGTTCACTATTGTCATCCTTACCGGTGGTAAGCAAAGCTGTACAGGGAACAGAGCTAAGTTTGCACAGCAAAAGTTATTCCCTACACAGATTGGTATGTATTTTTATTCGGAGTTACAAGGACGATTTGTTCACAGATCCAAAAGATGAGCTCAAATAGGGGGCTTCCCTGTTCCTTCATGTGCAACTGGTATAAATAGGGTGAACCACTTTTTAATGTCCTTCATATTATAGACTGTAATACTAGCTTCCTGCTTGTACTCCTTCTGTGTGTCTCTCCTTTTCCAGATTGGATACCCACTGCCCCTGAGCCATTGTATACTCCAACAGGTTTGGAGATAACACCGACATACCAAGCTCCTGACAAAGGCACTGTGATTTATCTAGGAGAAGAAGGTGGGAACACCCTGAAAGATCATGCTATCAAAGCACCTGCTTTGATCTCTTTTATGAATGCAATTCAAAGCCTGGTGAAATCAATATGATTTTAAATCGTTATTTTAAAGCACACAGGAATTAATTATTTTTCTATAGATAAGGTAAGAAATCAGTTACACAGCTGTCTCATTATCCAGAAGTTCTTCTCTTTCTGTTAATTATCTCAGAAGTTTGGTTCAGCCCAAGCCACCGTTCTCAGTGAATAACATTATAAACCAGCCTGAAATGAGTTTTTTATGAAAATATGAGTAGAGTAAGATAACAGCCAAAAGAGGAAGTGAAAAAGATGAGAGCTGTGTAACTGCAGGATCAACACTAATGTCTGTATTGGGAGAATATGTGAAATCTTTGAATCTAAACATATGGGTAGCAATAGTTAGTATTTGTTGACTACAGGGTGAGGTTTCAAGTGACTGTAATTGTACTTTCAGTGCCCTGAGCGTGCTGCTTTGCCCCCTAGCCTTGCATTTGGCTGGTAGGAGGACCGACAGAGAACTTAGGAGCTCTGCAGCCTTTACTTGCCCTTCCTTGTTGCAGCAGGAAGAGCTGACACCTTGTGCGAACAGGGCAGCTGGTCACTGCGACCAGCTGGGGGACAGGAACAGGTGGGAGGAGGAAGAAAATTTGGAGCCCCATAGAGTTAATCTTCTTTCTATTCCTGGGAGAGAAACTACCAGCGTGGTAGCTTTGCCATCTAAGTTATGTGGCAATAAATATATATATTTTAACCCCTAAAATCTTCCTCGCAGAGAGGCTCTGCAGGGCACCACAGGCATCTGCGTTAAGCAGATTGATGACCTAAGTGCCTCAGGTTGGCATGTGATGAGCCAGCGCGTCCTGAGGGAGGCAGCAGCACTCCCCTTGTCACCAAACAGGACGAAAATAACTTACCGACACCAGTGTGATGTAGATAATCAGACACTTCTCTTGTCTGGCTTGCTGTGATTAGCGAGCTGAGGATACGGGGGTTAACTCCACCTAGAGTATCCTGAGTTGCATTATAATCAACAGGGTTTTTATATATTGAATTTCTATTGTACAAATTATTTAACAAAAATGCACACAATGCTCGCTTTTAATTACTCGTTAAATTTCACCTTTGCATTGATTGGCCTCTTATGATCTTTCGATTTACTTAACTTCATGCATATTCATTTCTAACAAAAATCATTGGTCATCTGAATTCACCCTATTGATTGTAGTCTCTGATATTCAAACCAGGATGGGATAGGAAAGGGGATCTCCAAGCAGCAGTTACTGTGACCCTGGTCACCATGTGATATCTTCAAGATTTATTATTGTACTACTCTTTCCATGGTAGCTGCTTAAACATCGTATCTTATTCTTCATGATTTTGCAGTTCCCAGTTAAATATAATACTAGACCTTAGCTACTTGTACCATTTGTTTACTGCATGTGGTTTCTGTGACTGCCAAAATAAAACACAATTGCACACACACCCCTATTATTTCTATGAGACCAATTTCTCCTAAAAGTTTTGTCTTGCCCGTTCTAACCTTACCAGGCCCGACCAGATGCAATCACCCCCCCTCCCACGCCCCCCAAAAAACCCAAAAAAAAACCCAGAAAACCCCAAAAACTAGTCAAAAAAGTAACATCCTGATTCCCACTCAATTTGAATTTGAGTTCAAAGCAGGACCTGGGCTTTACTGCCTGCCTGGAAACTACTTGCTGCTGAGTTCCTACAGACCCTTGTAAAATCTGATTTGGAAAAGAAAAATGTAATCCAGTAGAAATATTAAAATGTTGTGATAAAGAACTCATATTTTATGCATGCATTTCATTCTATAGCATTTTACTGCACACTAAAATGATGTGAACACATCACTTGCAACATACAAGTGATTGCAGCTGGGCTTGGGCATCATCATTTTTATTTCCATTCCAGAATAACTTAATACACAGTTTTAAACAAAAACAAACAAACAAAAAAGTGATGGCAACAGTTGTCAGCTACATATGATTTTTTAGTAAAAAAGTTGCCCATTTGATTGGTGACCAGACCTAGAGGGAGCTAAGTCCTAGTCTTTCCACCTAACTCCATTTCATTGCTTAAGTACAGAGTGTGAATTGTTGTTCTCTTGTACAGAGACACACAGGCACCTCCAAGACAGAATCAGAGCTTAGGCTGGCTGAAATACATAAGGTTAAGTGGGAATGGGCAACAAAATCTTTGTATAATTTCTTTTAAACTTACCTAAGCTATGCTTTGAAGTTCAGCTCCATGCAGTTGTCTGTTTCTAGAAGGAATTTTGAGAAGGATGCAGATATTCCCTAAAAATATTCAGCCTGAAATGAAAGACATCTGTTCTGCACCTTTCCCTGGTTAACATAATCTGCTTCATGTATTTCCAAGAGACAGGTCTCTGCTCCCTGAAGCAGACCCTCCACCAGAAAGAGGACAACACACTTATCTTCAAAGCACAGTTTGAAAGTGGGAATTTGCAGAAGGTGGTCAAAGTGTAAGTTTCTAGTATTTTCTTATTTTTTTAAGGTGAATTTGTTATCCAAATTGTTATTATCTGCAGCCTGCTCTCAGTTTCTGACCAGAATGTGTTACTCTAGGTTTGTAACTTTTTTTACGTCAGTTGAGTAAGATTGAAAAGCAGTTTCTGGTAGCCTTCACTTTAAATTGTCTGATAGGCATTCTGCAGCAGTGAACTCTTTCTATAGGTGATAATCACCCACAGAAACTCAACACCTTTTCTTAAACACCTCCTTTTAAAGCATAGTGTGGAGAACATCTTTAGAAGTCCTGCTTATTATTATAAGTCCTAATAAAGACAGCAGTTGCATTATTGCCATGCTTGGGGCACTTAGGCATCTTATCCTGGCAGCTGCATAGGTTTTGATTTATGACAGTGTAAATCAGATTTGCACCTGATTCACTGTTGAGTGCTTTTTCATGACACTCCACATCAGCTGACACTGCATCATACGACAGTGCTGACCAGCATCACAGCTGTTGTCTTCTTTCTGCCTTCCAGCAATGAATTTGAGTACCAGCTGACCCTGCGCACCGACCTCTACACAAGCAGACACACACAGTGGTACTACTTCCAAGTGAGCAACATGCAGGCAGGGGTGCCGTATCGCTTCACTATTGTCAACTTTTCCAAGCCCAACAGCTTGTATAGACATGGCTTGCAGCCACTGCTGTACTCAGAAGTTGATGCTAAGAAGTACCAGGTTGGCTGGCGGAGGACTGGAGATGAAATCAAGTACTACAAAAACAATACAGGACAAGACCGACATCAGTATTTCTCACTTACCTGGACATTACAGTTCCCTCATGACCAAGACACCTGCTACTTTGCCCACTGCTATCCTTACACCTACACTAACCTGCAGGAATACCTGGTGGCCATCTCTAAAGATCCAGTGAAGTCCAAGTTCTGCAAGATCCATGTCTTGTGCCGTTCACTGGCAGGAAACATGATATATGTTTTAACTATCACCAACCCCTCCCCAAGTGGCCTGAACACTGAGAGGAAGGCAGTGATACTAACAGCGAGGGTGCATCCAGGAGAAACTAACAGTTCCTGGATAATGAAGGGCTTTCTGGATTACATTCTTGGAGATTCAGACAGAGCTCAACTGCTGCGGGACAGCTTTGTCTTCAAAGTGGTACCCATGTTGAATCCAGATGGCGTGATTGTGGGGAATCACCGTTGCTCTCTAACAGGTCACGACCTGAATCGGAAATACAGATCTAACATGAGGAAGTGGTACCCTTCCATCTGGTATACCCGAAACATGATCAGAAGGTAACCTCATTTTCCTTCCCTTTAGAAAAATGACTTTGCTTTCCACTGTCTCTTTGTTTGTGTGGCTTCTCTTTGCCCTGTACCCAAGCTTTTCTGACTGTTATGTTTATACTCAGTTGCATTTCAGAGTGTATTATTTTTTTCTTCAGTATTGTATAGGTTTTTCTTAAGTATCCATTCTCCATTTCTGGTAGTAAGTTATATTTCCAAGGTAAAAGAGTTTCTGTCAAAACATTTTCAGCATATTTCTCCCCACTATCCTCTGCCAAAATCTACTTATCAAATTCCTTGTTTTTCCCATTTTCTTCTTTTCTGGCATACAATGACATTCCAGAATTAAGCTGGGTTCAGAATAGGTCCCAGATGTTGATTTGATAGCAAATATTGCCAAATTTGCTGTACATTTTGCTGCAAATATGTTTGTTTTCTTATGCAAACTTTCAGTCTCAGAGTCATTGATACTCTGGATATAAAGATAAGCTTTCAGGTGTTAAACAAAATCTTCAGCTAGGAAGTTAAATCCCTCTGGTTTAACTTCTGAAACAAATTAATACAAACAAAACCCTAGTGCAAAAAGCCAGTATCAGAATTAGTACATATAAAGTTTTTCATCTAGTCACAACCTATTTTAAATAAGATCTGTGTTCTTTCAAATTAATGTTTTGGCATGTAGATCCCTAGCTTACAGGGGATGAGCTTCTTCTTTTCCATGAAAATTCGTCTCTGTCTTACTATATGGAGACAGCCTGCACATGTGAGAGCCCTGTAATTAATTATGTCTGCTGAAGTGCTACTGACCTTCAGCCTCACATTCCGCTAGTGTCAGCTGAGACAGCTTTGGTAGTTAGTACTTCCTTCTTAGTTCCACCATGGATTTCCAACTCCTGTGCAGAGTAAAGGCCCAGGTGACAAACTGTGGTGCCATCATATCTACCCATGAAGCTCTGCTTTTACACTAATTGGGCATTGGGGGTGTGGGTTGCTAAACCTCAATCTGCAATTTTATTTTTTAAAAGTTAATTAATAAAAAAGGTAGCAGAATCTTGGCACATCAAAAAAACTGATGTCTCCAATTTGAGAAAGGAAAGAG